CCGCGCAAGCTGCGCGCCCGGCCCCGCGCCGGCAGCGGGCGCTGCGCGGAGCGCCCGGGCCGCGCCGCGGGAATGTGCGCCGTGGGAAGAGGACGCGGGGCGGGAAAACGGCGCGGGGAAACGCGGACAAGTGAAGGCGCGCCCGGGAAAACGTTCCTGCTGCCCAAAGCAGGTCCGTGCCCGTCGGTGCGGGGGCTCCTCGGGCAGGTGTGTGGAAATAGCGGATCCTGACGCTTCCGAATTAGGAATCAGTATTGAAACAATTGGGCCGATGGCAGACGAGGGGTTGCAGGTGTTTTCAAGAGTCTCATCTACCTTCTGCTGTTTCTAAGGCTAATCAGGAGAATTTTAGCTCAAATCAATGCATTTTGGACCAGTGCACGGAGCACAGTGAGAGGTTCTGCCTCCTTACCTGCCTGTGCTTCCCTGGAGGGAATGTGGCTGCCCTYGGCAGCAGGTCCTGGTGAATCCTTGTCCCTGCTCTTTGCTTGTGCACTGCTGGATGGGCTCCCAAACAGGTTGGGGTGCTGGCAGGGCACATGTGTGGGGCTTTCCTCCTGTCTTTCCCACTGAGCTACTCCCATCTCCCCACGTCGCTGGTGTAGCTGAAGGGCCACTTGCTGACAGCGGGTGTCTGGCTTGCTTCTAGCATGGGTGTCCTGCTKGGATTTTGGCTCCGTGTGGGGTGAGCGCTCATCCTCACCTGGAGGAAACGGCGTTACTTTCTTCACCTGGCTGTGACTAGCTTGCAGATACACAACTCATGACCACTCATTTTTCAAGGGAATAACAACAAACTCAGCAAAGAACTACGTTTAATCTTCACAATGAGCCTCTCGCAGGTAAAACACTGTGCCTATTCTTGAAAATCACTGGAATTTATTTTTATTCTGCCATGCGTGCTTGTTAGTAGAGCCTTATTTGGAGTGCCTTACCAGGTGGAAGGCTGGATTGAATAAAAAGGCAGCTAAAAGCATCCAAACCAAAATACGGTCCCTTGCTGCAGGCTATTAAGTGTGGCCCTTCTGACTCTGCTGAGGACTACGAAAACTCATTAGATTCTTCCCTGTTCATCTGAGGCCTTTGGCCACTCACTACTGCAATGAATGCAGCGTTCCGCGCTCAGCAGCTCTGCACTTGGCTGGGATGAAGAGAGACACGTGGAGCTGCGTGTGAGCGATGTGGCCTGAGGATGCTCAAACGCCAAGCAGCCGACACGGGGCAAACTGAGCCCCTTTACTCAAAAGAGCAGCAGCAGCGAGTGCTGCTGTGCCCAGGCCTGGGAAACCCAGTTCCTTGGCCCGAAGGGGTTCAAACCCCAGCTCCTTGCTTTGGGCAAGTTAAGCACATACACATGGCAACTACACCTAGTTTAGTGAATTAAAGTATTCTAAGACACAAGATCCCCTTTCACTTTTTCTTTTTTACTTATCCCCTTTGAGATATTGCTTTTCTGTGGTTTCCCTGTCCAAAAGTACCCAGAAGGAGTTGCCCTACTGATAGGATTTTGGGGCAGGTGAGTTTCCTCTATTGAGGAACTCATAGTGTTGCCTGGAGCTTGGAAGAATGGGATAATTTATTTGTGCCTGTGTGAGAGGGTGAAGAAGATGTCGGAGCAGGGCAGGTTAAACTGCCTGAGTACAGGGGTGGTTAGTCCCAGGGGGAGAAAAAACAGCTTCACTCCAAAGGCTGCAATTAATTATTTCAAAATATAAGATGTCCGTGGCTAATTCTGAGATTTGTCTGGCAGGGTATCATAGGAGGCTGTAAGTACATATTGTTGTAATACATCCTCCAGACCTTCTGGCCACAAACCAGCTTCCTTTTCCATCAGCCACAAGGAAGAAATATTACTCCCCAGCCCCCCTGCCCACRTATATCATGCTGTTAAGAATGATTCTGACTGTAAAAATAAGAAATATTATTCAAATATCATCCACTTAAACACAGCCGGTGGCAAAGACGCTTTTGATTGCCTTATAAGGCACAAAATTATTAAGGACAGAACTTTAATAATGACCTTGTCATGTCTTATTGGCAGGTAGCAGCTGAAGACACATGATATTTTTTGTACTTTTAATAGGCTCAAGTTTTCAAACATTTTCATGCAAGCATACAGTTCACTGCTGAATTCAGCAGTTTAGTTTAGCCCTTTATAAATCTGAAAGCAAGATGTTCATAGCAATTCCTCTGTTTTAATTTAGAAATACTGATGATCCAAGCTTTCACTACGTAAGGTGTGGGTGAGTGACCAGGGGAGGCATTCCTTATGAAACCATGCAAGAATGCACAGGTGCTTTTCAAAGAAAAGATTTATTTTCTAGGTCTTTTAAAATGCCTTGGTGCTAATAGTCATGAGCGACTGAGCTGTGCCTGTCTCCACAAGTGCCAACCTCTACACCTCCTTTCTGGATATACTTGGGTTGGGAGTCTTGATCTCATCCTTGGTTTCAGCCCTGAAAAGACTCTCTCTCTTAGTCTTTCTGAAAGAGATGATCACTTATCATCCATAATTGCTGGGATCACGGAAAACAGTTATTCCAAGCAGAAAACATGAGGAAGCTTGCCTAGGAGAGCTTGCCTCCTAAGTGGGCTTCCAAGCCCAGGTATCTTGAGATTAGGAGAATTCATTGTGATAAATTCTAATAAACCTCTTGGAGTTACAATGGCTCAAGAAAAGCAGCCGAAATAGCAAATCCCAATTTGAAAAATGCTCAAAACTTCCTAGAAAATTCAAGTGAGAACTGAGGCACTCAGCTTCTTATAAAAATAGGTCTTTGGAAGAAGCTTTTCCCTTCCTAGGCATAATGGTGTGAGGGTACCCTGAAAAAACATGGCAAGAAACATGAAAGGACGATTCTTTTCTGAGCTATCAGCACTGACTGACACAGAACCACATCTGGGACCAATACACAAACATCAACAACCAGACATCAGTATCGTTTTACCAATTAGCATGAATTACATTTTATTAGAAAAAATGGTATTATAGGGAAGGTGGAGAATATACTTTTTTTGTTTCCAACTAACCTATGTACTTGATGGAAGAATCCTACTTTAAGAGCATTTTGATGACAACTGGATTTAGTAAATGTGAGACTATGCTTTGTTTTTGTTTCCCTCAAAGTTTAGAAGAAATGACAGGAAAAAATGATGTCTGGCTAACTGGAGAGCACACTGCACTGCATCTCCTTGCGGGGAGTCTGTTCTCCACCTAAATACATCAAGATTTTTGTACTTCTCCACTTACAGCCAGATTCTTCTTGCCACTACTCCTGCGGCTACGTTTGGCTCTTGCTTTCCATTAGACAGCAATTTCTAGCAAAAGAATGTGAACAACTGTGTGTCGTTCCAAAGCAAAGCCTGGCATCAAACAGCTTAATGGGGTTATGAACACTCCCATTTTCATCCCACCAAATAAGAAGCTGGCACATACCAAATCCAATGTGCTATTCGACTTGCAGCACCACTGCAGACATGTACAGTGTTCATCGCTCTTAAGTATAAGCTCATGGTTAGTTTTTCTAGGCTCATAAAATGCTTGAAAAAGCTAGTTTTCTTCCTATTATGTTATTTTAATTCCATATGAGAGGAGCCAGTGTCTTTTACCTGCAGCTCAGAGTCATTTCTCATGGAGAGCTGGGCTGTGAAGGTGCAGGAGAAGGTTGTGCTGCCAGCACCCTCACCTTGCTACAGGGTGTGCACACACTTTGGTTTGCCTTGAAGCTTATAATGACCTGTGTGGAAAGTGGAAAATTGTGTGCTAGCTTCTTTTCTCAGGCAAGGAAGCTCTACCTGCTCCTTCAGGACACAAGAGAAAGGCAGAGCTGGAGGGGAACCTCCATGAGCGGCTTGGAAGGGGAAAGACAGGTGGGTTGAGGTTTGCAGGTTCACTTTGAAAGACATTAACAAGAAGATAGCTGCTGCTTAAGGGCCTGCCACAGCAAATACCTTTACATTCCTAAAAACAGATTAATAGAAAACTCTAAAATGTCACAATTTTATAGTGCCCTATAGTGATTCTCCAAATTATTGAGACATTTTGGATTGGGTCCTAAGCAAATGCCTAAGCCAGGCAAAACCTAGATGTTGTCRCACATGGTCAAATGTGGCTCTGGTAAAAATTGTTATAGATGCATTTTATGTATTCCATATTTAGGCATTTCTGTATTTCTTAATAGCTATATAGTGGCTTGTATTAGCTTCATTTCACAGCAAAGCAATACAGATCTACAAAAGGAGAGTCACATCCTTGTGACAATAGCATCATTGTTACTTCCTTCTCCATCTGTTCTGAAGAATATATTAAAACACACAAGTATTAATTTCCAACCTTTCAGAAAAACCTATCATGTTAAATAATGGCCCTACAATGTCCATTAGTGCAGCCAGAAGCAAAGGACCAGAAGGAAAACCCTAAGAGACAGTTCTAGACAGCAGCAGACTTTGAAGAAAGAAATTTGAATCTGAGCTGATCTTTAATTTCCATTTTTTTAAACCTWTTTTTCATTTAGCCACAAAAATAACTTAATTGAGCTAGAGCCACATTACCACTGCATCATGCCAACTCTACCAGCTGTGCCTTTGGCTTTCAGTATGGGCAACCGTTCAGGCTCATTCAGGCTTTTCCCTCCTTTTTCTTTTCAGRGCTACATTTTTTAGATGCGTGTCTGTCAGTGGGAATGGGACAAGGTCCCAGCAAACTCCTTTGCGGAGCCAGAGACATCAGAGACAAAAAGAAAGAGCCTACCCCAAAGAGCCTGCAGTCTCCTTCCATGACCAAAGATCTTTAGCAATGAAAAGCATCATTAAGTAGCTGATTTTTAATTAGGCAATAAGAGGCTATTGGGGAGGATAGAGAGGCTGGCAAGTGTGGGAGAGCTTCTGCATAGTGGACTGCAAGACATCTCTTGCAAGGACTTCACTGGAAGCAGAAGCTGGTCCTCCTACAACACAACAGCAAAATAGTTCTAGCTGTGTCTGGGTCATYGGTCCATCAACAGAAGACCAAGGATAGTGATTTCAGAAGTCATATATCACATTTAAGCCTGTTGCATCTCTTTGCCTGCTCTTTGATTTCACTCAGAGCTGCGACCATGTAAGTTCACAGACCTCAGGCAGTTACAACACTGAGAATTATTCTACCACGGTTCAGTGTAATTTGCCATGTCTCATGGTGCCTGAGTACAGGAAGCCCATGAATGCAAATGGAAAGAATAATTTCATTAAATTATTTTTATAACTGCATAATTTTACTAATTAAAGCCTTTACTTATACCAATTCAGCAGAGGGCAGAATATTTTACTAATTCACTGTGCTTATTAAAATTTTAAGGTTAGCTAGTAAATTTGTGGCTGGTGTAAAACATAGTTAATAAGCTTTGAGGAGAAAAATAGGGAAATATCTTTTTGATTAATGCAAATGTATTTTTGGGAAAGGTCTCCCCCAGTCAGTTTGGTGGGAACAGTCTTTTTCACATCTCCTTGCTATTTTGCTGTGCTTCAAATGTTTCTGAGACACAGGTGTTTCTAGGCAACATTTCCTGTACTCCCTAAGGAAAAATATCAGCATAGAAAAAGCCTAACTAAAAGCAGCCTGCCCTAGGAGGAGCAGAGCTATGCTGAATTAGCCAAATGTCTCAACCTTCCACAATTCAGGCCCTAGGAAATATTCTTATTGATTTCTCTGCGCTTCAGGTCAAGCTTTTAGGATAAGATCTGCAAAAATGGTGAGAAACCTAAACTGAGCAAAGCCCAAAGGAAAGGAAAGGAAGGACTGGTGGAAAAAAAAAAGTGGCTCAACAAGTACTAATGTTCATACTGGCACCTATGAGAGCATGCACAGACTGTGAAAAGCAAAGGCCACAAAGCATGTGCATTATGAGAAAACTCATATTTTTGTATATTTCATATATATTTATCAAAAAAAAAGGAAAAAAAAAGCACATCTTAACAAAAAAAAAAAAAAAAAAAAATAGGGCTCTGTGCAGATCAGTGTCAGGCCCCATTCAGCTTAATGAAAAAAAGAGAAGTCATCCTACCTTTCATATTTCATTAGCGAGGAAGTTAGGTGCTACAATTTGATCCAGGAAAGAACATGACCCTCTTTTCATTACCTCCTCTCTGTTTCTCTGCCAGCGAGCTCTTACTTCTCCRCTTTTTATAAGATTGTTAAATTACTAGTCAGAAGAACAAATCTTCCAGAAGATTTAGTGGTTTTACCTCGTGGATTATATACGATTGTGATTTAATGCTAACACGCTGCAGTGGTAACAGGGGAAGTTTCATTCATAATAATTTACGGGCTGCTCAGGAGCTGTCGGAGAGGGTAATTAACAGACATGTAGCTCTCCAAGGAGGGTGACTAATGATGTCTGGGTTGTGTCCATGTCTCTTAAACCTGCTCCTATCCCCTGCCATCCTCTCTCTCCCACATCTTCCCCATGGARCCCATGAAATCCATGGGAATTTGCTGTTGACCTCAGTGGTGACAGGATCAGACTTGAAATTTTCAGGTTCCCTCTTTGCTCCCATTTGCTTCCACACGGGTCACATTGATGGTTATACCTCCTATGCCTGATTACAGAYAAGGACATGTGCAATTTACCCTTTCACCCCATCTGTGCACTGCTGTGAYCGGATTGCAAACAACCAGCCAACCGACTGGAAACAAAAGAACAGGAAGGCAAAAAGGAGAGCACAGGGAGGCTGAATTCTGCTTTCTCACACGGGAATTGCTCTCTGGAATTGCAYGGCTGGAGTGGATTTGCACTCAAGTGGATTAGAGCAGATTTAGTTCCTAGACTGTCACCCACATCCATCTCTTATCTCGTCATTGTCAGGATTGGGTGCTTAGAACGGTTGAGGAATGCATATGTAGGGTAACTCTGCCACATCTGACCTGCAAGCCAATGGAAATCAGTTCTGCAGAGAGAGATCCTAATTTTATTTTCATTTATGCTTGGATATTTAATTTGAGGGGCCCAAAATGAATATTCTGAATGTTAATTATAATTTATATAATTTATATATAAAGAATAATATAAACCAAAAGATATGGTTACTGTTGGTTTTATACTGGAGAAAATTAGATGACTTGCAGAGAGAGGTTCYTGGTTTGCTTTGATATCAAGATGATCAGAAACAAGCCACTTTGGTTTCTTCCAACTCTAAAGCCACTCAAGCCACTGCTTGACCMGAATCAAAGCCAAATTTGTGCTAATTTAAGCTTTGAGTTGCTGCTCAGAAAAATGCTAGGGGGACTTTGAACTTTGTTTTCTTCATTCATCAAAATAGAGGCCAAATGCAGTAGAAGCAAAGTAAAAAGTCACTGTTGTACGCTTGAAAATACAGATCTATGGGCAGAGTTGAATCAGTTCAAAAGCAAGCTTTCATTCATTTAGCTGTATCTTCACAACAAGTGCTACTTCCTAGAACTGTGAAGGTGCAGCAACCCTGCTGCATCTTTCACATCACACACTTGATTTATGTTTTCTAGGTCTCATTCCTCTTTGGTGCATCCTTCCCTTGCCTCTGGAAGTACTTTTTTGGTAAACATTGGTAAAAGGAGTGAGAATAGACCTGTTCACACAGATCTTCCACGTCGAGACGTCTATGCTGCCACATGTCAGTTGGTGCCAGCTGGAATTTGTTTCAGTACCGATTGCTAAAATAAGAAATAGTAGTTAATTACACAGCACTGATGGGGAGAGAGTGTGAAGTAGATGATCTCACACAAGCGAATATTGTTATCAGCAGTCACAGAAAACAGGGCTGGAGAGAAGCCCAGGAGATCTTCTACTCAATTCTACTACCTAAAGATTGGATCATAGATATGTACATGATTTCTGTCAGAAAAACAAATCAGTACCATTCACTGTGTATGCAGAACACAKATTATTCCCATCATCTTTGCAAGTGCTCCCTGCCTAACTGAAGGTACCTATGATATCTTACCTTAATCTTCTCCGGACTATCAACCCCCTTCTTTGAGCATTTTCTTATATGTCCTTTGATCATTGCGTTTGCCCTTTTCTGAACTCTCACCAGTTGGTTTAGATGTGTTTGATCTACGGAGCACGAGGCTGAACACGGCAAGGGAACTGCAGTGAGCTCTGCGAGGTGAGCCTGCCTTGGGAGGCAGCGCTGCCCCTGGCACCTGTTGGAAGGCAGCTCGGCAGGTCTTTGATCGCAGTGGCTCTCTTGTCAGCCTGCACGATACCTCTCACCCCTCTGGTAACTGTTATCTTGCATTTACACCCATCGTAATCATCCTGGAGTCACAGTAAGTTCTAATTTCTTGGCTTTCTGATATAGTTTTGATAGGCAATTCTACAAGGAAAGTGTTATTGCTCAAGAAGAGAATCCAATTAATGTCCTGGAAGCATCACTCCTCTTCTGGCTTGATTTTGTTGTCCAGTCTAGCCCTGGTCTCCCTGGAAAGCGATCTGTTAGTTTGTTGTATCAGGGCACAATACTCATGTGCTTTCTTTCAGAGGCTTGCTAGGAAGACACCAGTCTGACACCAGGTCTACCCCTCACTCTCAAGCCTGTCTACTAACACAGGGAGCTTGAGATAAATCTCGAGTGCTTTAATCTCCCAGGCAAGTGAACATACTCAGTTGTGGAATAGTAAGTATATACTGAAAGCTCGGCAGACTCCAGAGATTCATTTGTGTCTGTTTTGGGGTGCAAGTGCCGGAGACTCAGAGCCACATCAGAAAACTGGGCATGTTGTTCCCTACCACGTAGTCCAACATACATCCATTGGGAGCGAGTATGGTAGCCAGCAAACTAGCAAATTTTCCTCCTCTCTTTTCCCATCTTTTAAAATATGTAACACACACACACATACACACAAATACAAACAATTCAAACCATAAACAAGACAAAACACAGATGTAGTTCTACACTGAACTTAAATAAAAATGGTTTAAAATGTTACAAGCTGTCATATCTGGCAGCAATACCAGACCAGAAAACCCATAAAAAAAATCATAACTCACATCTAAATATAAAAATAAGCAGATATACATGTGCAGCTCACTAACTTATTCAAATAACTTCCTCTGAATACTGTCCCACATTCTGCTATGTATCCCAGTGCAAACATTAAAAAGGTTACCTCATACATCTGTCAATAAGCTCATCTAGACAGGTTTTTAGAGAAGAAGGTATTTTCTAGGTATCTCAGAGAATAGTATAAAGTCACACAGGGTCATTAGCCATTTGGGAAGCCTTATCTTTTCCTCTCTTCACTGGTCGTGTGCTGAGATCTTGGTGTCCTCCTTGACCTGGCCCCCAGATTTGCCTGGTCTCTGGTAGTGGTAGCAGGGTGCAGTTAGGAGGACACTTGCTGCCTAGGTCAATATGTTTCTCTGCCTTGTAGCAGGGAGTTGGAACAGCTCACTGCTCGGACCATTTATTTCCTCTCCAAATATGTATGACAATTTTATGGTGCAGAACAAATCTTTTGCGTTAGAGCAAACGAGCAATGCCACAGCGGTATAGCTAAGTGAGTTTGTTTCAATAACAAGAAAGTTGTTTGCCACAGACATCTAAATACAGAGATAGCTGGATGAGATAGCATGTTATTTTTTCCCTTTCCTTGTGGGGAAAAAAAATTATATCAACTGACAAGATATTTTACTTTTACAGCAAGCTTTAGTTTTCCTTTAGCTGAATCCCTAAGTGGCGCTCAGCTCAGCCCAACCAGCCGTGCTGAGTCATAAGGACCGGACAGTTGAGCACGCAGAAGTCTATTCATCCCCTGGCCCTCACCCCATCATGTGTCTTGGAGCTAAGGTTGATGGCTACAACYAGACGAACAGGGAAATCTTCTCTATTCAGATCCCCCTAGCTAGCTACTGCTCTGGGGAGCAAATAATGGTCTTGAGCTCTACAGCTCTCCCTGCCTCCAGCAATTTCAAAGCAAGTAGATATAATCTGAACAGGTATCCACCTGATAACATGGCACTGTGGAACTTCTGTCTGCTTAGTCCAAAAGGATCAGGTCTGGGAACAGAGTCAAACAGAAGCAGCAGCAGCATTTAAACCTAGTAGCTTCATGAAACACAGTGCAGAAGAGTAATTTTAACTTTAGATGACACACTTCTACCACATTAGATTCCTCTGTGTTTATCCTTACCTATTTGGTTTGCTTCTCTGGAATGTCCTGGGACAAACAAGTCCAGAGGAGAGATTTGGAAACTAATCAATGTACAATGAAAGATCATCCAAGCATCTTGTAGTGGCCTGCAAAAATGTGCCAGGATATTTGAGGGAAAAAGCAGATAAACAGCTTTTCAAGGATAACGTATTTCGCTAAAAGCCAATTAGAAAAAAAAAATCCAGCTTCAGAAACAGGAACTCCAGCCACCTCCTACAGTTTCTTAAAACTCCACAACATCTAACACAGCAGATATATTGCTAAGTCTAGTTCCTAAAGGCCAGTGACCATTAATTAAAATTTCACTGTACACCCATCCTTCAAAGCACGTCTCAGCTTGCCATCTACAAGGTTAATCGGGGACAAATTTGCAGCCCATATGTCGACATTCACACCCAAAGACAAATCTCAATCTGTTCAGATCTGACTTCTGGTATGGTCTGGAGAGAAAGGACCATACAAAAGTCCAGGTTCAGTGTTAGAGATTTAGTAGGCATTGATGCCAGTGCTGAAGATTCTGATGTTAAAGACTGGGCAGTGCCAGGTGCACAAACTATCCTCAAGGGAACAAGAAGGGAAAACAAAAGGTATCTCTGCAGCCAGATGTACAGAGTGAGAAACTGAGTCTCCTGGATGGTCACAATCATAGGCTCCCTTCACAAGCAGACAGCTTTGGTATTTCCTGTGTTCCTTCCTTATGCATTGTTCAGCCTCAGGCTTAAAATTCTGGTACAAGCAAGAAGACAAGCAAGTTTCAGCTTCTCTTTTAATATCAGAGAGCAAGATTAGCAAAGGTGCCCTCAAATAATGAGCGGTTTTATTTTCTCCATGACTGTCCAAGTGTTTTGGTGACACACTAACAGCAATGACACCAGAAATCCATAATTTCTCTGTGGTATACGTAAAGATGTCTAATCCAAACACATTTGCTGGTCTCAGCTATCTCTTTTTCAAAGGAACCTTTAAATTACCGGTGTTTGCTTGGTTTATAAAGGTCTCAGAGCCAGCAATTTCTTGACTTAATGTTGGCCTCTGACACTGACCTCAAGTAACTCAMCCACTTCTTACATCAGGGCCATTACCTGAGCAGCACAGAAACACACTTCCCAAGGATGCTGTTTGTGCTCAGAAAATGATGTTACACTGACCCATGCAGGCTTTTCCCTCACACACAGGAGCAGCCACCTCAGCAAAGGGCAGAAGCACTTGATCAAGCCAAGATGTCCCAAGTACATAGCGTCTTTTTTCCTAGTAAACTGTTGCAGCCCACGTAACGGAGGAGTAACACCCATGAGAATAGGCAGTGTCCACTGCAGACAAAAAAAAARTGGAGCTAAAGAAAATGCTGTTATCTAGCATAATATGCTGGCATTGGCCAGCACTTCAGTCTAGTTTTGTCAGGAAAGGCATCCCATGTTGGAGAATCTCTCACCTTATCAACAAAGGACAACAATCTCCACACAGAGCTGAAAGTCGTCAAGTAACCAGCCAGGCTGGGAATAATTTAGAGAGATGAGAGCTAATAGGTTCAAGGTAAACCAAGAAGGGATCCGATTAGCTAGAGTACTAAAAGCCAATTAATCCTAGAGCACAGCTAAGTCACTTTATGAAGCTAAGAAAGGATGGCACCTGAGAGCACTTCCAACACACCAAACCTTAATTGTTAAACCAATTACTTCAACCYGCCCTTGCCCAGAAAACAGTTCTGGAGATAGTGCAGGAGTTTGGGAGGGCTTCAGAGGATTGTGTTTTTTTTAAGAAATAATTTCTACAAAGACTTGCCAGATACAGGCTTTACTGTGGGATAAAGTGMATCACCGTGAAGCAGGATTTGGGGACAACTGTTGTCAGTAGCAAGCTGATCTTCCCTGCAGTCAAGTTGACCTCTCTGTGGATGGGGCTTGCTCCCAGGCCATCCAGACGCCTTGGGATTGGCACCTGTCCAGCCATCTTGACAGCTGCCACCTTCTTCTCCAACAGCAAGGACCTGTCACACACAGAGCTAAGAAACTGGTGCTTTTTYTTCCCATGGGTTGCACACTGAAAACATCTGAGAACTCTGCTTGTGGTCCTGAACCGTATCTGAAACATCAAGAAAGGTGTTTCTGGACATTCAAAGTGATTACATCCCATAGCTTACATAGCATTCATGTGAGAATGGAGGGCCCTTGAAGGCAGGCAAAGCCAAGGCTGCAAGCAAAATGATCCATCGTGATCTGCCTCTGTCGCTGCTTGCACTGCAGTCCAGCTGGACCTGCCTGTGCCTTGCTGCTCAGCAYGTTGTGCATGAAAATCAACAGAAATCCTCACGACTCGAGCATCCGTATGAATTCCTTTCTGCAACGCAACCCCGCGGAATAGGACAGATAGAGCAGGAGAGGATGTTCGACTAAATGTGTATCAAATTTTGTCCAAGCCAAAAAACAGCCGCAGAAGAGGTGGGATGTAATTTCAGAAGCGGTGAAATGACACCCTGTGAGCACATCAGCTCAGCCACTTAGAGCCTCACCGTAAATATTCCGTGGAAGTTGCCAGGCCAGGAGCTGGTGCTCTGCCTGAATGTGAATTGCATCCCCAGCAAGGAGGGAATTGGCTGTTGTTTAATTCATGAGAGTAGCCACACGGGGTCACCCCAAAGGCTCGCGTAGCTCAGCATCCTATCTCCAAGTGCAGACAGTGAAAGATGTGTAGGGAAAACCAGCAGGAAACAGGGCAAGCGTAGCCTGCACCTTCCCCGCTGCACCCTCCATGTGCCAGCCRCAGACGTAGGGATTGCTGGAGGGGCTCCATGGCCCATGAGAGACCTTTCTTCCACCACTCAGCCTAATTGCTTCTCCAGCCCAGGTTTACTTGAGATATCCAAAGCATCCTGTGGGCAAGGAGTTGCACAGTTTTATTGTGCGGATGGATGTTCTGCCTTTCATTTGCTGGGATTAATAATATTCGGCCATGTCCACTAATTGCTGTGCTGTAGGAAGGAGTCAATAATCCTTCCACGCTCCCCTTTGCAATTTTAACTTGCTCTTGCGCATTGCTCTGTATTATTTGGAGAAAATTAAATTTGTCTCAAATATTAAGGTGAAAAGAGATCACATGCATTTGTTAACTCCCAGCCATATCCTTAGAGCAGGCTTGTTCTGCATTCCAGGTGCAAGCGATGATCTCTGTTCGGTGTTCAGACTTTGAATACAAATTACAGCGTGAACCCGCCTCCACCATTATTATCCATTGTGTTACTGGGATTTAGAAACTCTTTGTATCTCCTCTGGTTACTATGGCCGTTCCCAAACTCTGCTATTTCTATACTTTGTAAGAGATCTGAAAATATAAGGCAGTCCTTGGATTCACTTCAAAGGTCTATGGCAATCCAACGAAAATCTCTTAATGTTCAGATATGGGAGAGGGAGGTGCTAGCAAGCTCCTAAAGTGAACACAACAAAAAGAACAAAGAAAAAAATAAATACAACGGAAAAAAAAATAATCAGGTCATCATTTTCTCCTTGTCTCCACAAGTAACCTTCTGGAAAATGTTACTGTAAAACTCCTCTTCCTCTGCAGTTGATCCAGCTCTTCCCCAGTTTCTCTATTTCCTGCTTGACCAAAGTCTCTCCCATGTTTCCAGTCTCATTTTACCATATCTCTTGGTAATGCCCCAGATGCATCCTTCTTTCTCGAGGGGAAGCCTGGTTTATGGATCAGCTCTACCCTCATGCCAGAGACAAGCTCTTGTTCCTTGCTTTCCCAGTTCCCCTCCACACTGGCTGCCTCCCTGGGGTCCCAGCTCCCCACTGCAGCGGCACGACTGGGGTCTTGCATGCAGCACACAGCAGCCACACGGGGACAGCGACCCGGGGCTGCAAACAACTCCGTGTGCCCCGGCAGCACATCCAGGGCAGCGCCGGGCTCAGCAGGGGAGAGGGAGCTGGTGCTGCTCCCCAGGGCTGGCCCTTTGTAAGCTCTCATTTTAAATGCCATTTCTGCAGACAGAACATGGCAAACAGAGCATTGAGCTGAGTTATTCTGTGCAAACTGAATGAGATTTTCCTGCTGCAGCTCTGTGCAATCAACAGGRGCTAGAGCATCCGAGGAGGGAGAAGCATGAGCCCATTTCTCCTGGTCAGCAGCATTTCCAGCCCCACTACGAGCACAGCCTCCACTTTTCTTCCCAAACACAACCCCAAGCTCAGAGTACCTGCTCATATCCAAGGCTGCTAATGAAATGCTGGTGCACTTGGCTCCAGCCCGGGTTCTTTTTAAGCCTCTCCAAGCATGTGASTGCCAACACCACAGCAGGCATCTGACAAGCCGCGTCGGCTCTGTCCTCATTAGCCTAAACAAGAGCGCAGTAGCAGCAGATGCTGGCAGGGCTGGTCCTTCCCAGCGACACCAGCTTAATTTGAGCTTGGATGAAGCAAGCCTTGGCCTGGCAGCCAGCCCTGTGTACTGATGGGCACCGCAGGGCAGCGGCGCGTGAGCCCTCAGGCACCTTACGTTGTGTATTGCTGCAGTGTCCTTAGATATACAGCTTTGGAACACCCCAAAAAGCCAAGAGCAGCTGGACCAGAAGTTCTAGGTCAGGCCTATATTGAACAATGCAGCCATTTATAATCGCAGTTCAGTTTGTGTGGGGGAGCACTTTTAGTGAAGGTGTGTTTACAGGGACCCCRTGATCATGGTGTCCCTCCAGTGCATGCCTTGCTGTACCACCCCTTGAAGACGAGCAGAGCTGCAAGAGGAGACCCGGCCACTCAGTCAGGGTCTGAGTAGGCTGCCATGGCAAAGTGGCTAAGCAGGGACAGTATGAAAAATGCAGGTCCTATCTAAACTGGAGGGACTGCAACAACACTGGAGTTGCAGCTATTCATCCCAAGTCTAAAACTAATTGCCACGTCACAATTATTTGCATTATCCCTTCTTTTTATTCTTAATACAGGCAATGGTGCAGCTTGAAAACAGAATTACTCTGTCTTGAAGCACTGTGAAGCCCTTTCAGCTATGCTACACTAYTGCTATTTTCCTTGGGGATTCTCAGCTTCAAATTATTATTCCTTCCACTTTCTTCTCTCTTTCCCTYTCTCAATTTGACAGCCCACGTGTCCCACTCCACCCACCTCTGAGCAGCCAGTGGGTCTCCCTTGAATTATGCTCCCAGAGTCAAATCCATTGAGGTTTAGGAACAGCTTCTGCCTGTATCTAGCCACAACTGCCTCTGTCTACTACAAGAAAATCCAAATAGTGCCTAGATACAAGCCACATGACTGAAACAGCTTCTTTTATTTGGAAATAGCCAAGGATAGTATGGCAAAAAATTCACCTGCGAAAGGAAAAAAGAACCTGAAAATGAAGTGGCCCAGAGAGAAGAAGAATGAGAAAGCACCTCAGTAGAGTTGCAAGGAAGATTAGTGCCCCTCTGTAAAAGGGCTGATTAAAATCCTATGATTTAAATTAGTCCATTGGCAAAGGTATAAGCCTTGTTTCAGTTCTGAACAGGACGCAAAGCATCCATCCGGACCCTGTAGTTCCTTGACACGCTCTGTAAAACAGCCATTTGGCAAATGTCCCTAAACACACACTTAGTAAATAGASAGGGAGGCGTTGGAGTGGAGGGCCACAGTAGCTCTGTGTTTCGAGCCTGTGGGACGACCTGAACTTCAATACAAGCTGGAGCAGCTCCTAGCACTGTTTAGTTTGGGCTGTCCATGCCTCCAAGGAACTTATATCAGGGTGATACTCATGTAGAGAGCTTATCGATTGACTGAGCGACTTGCATAACTTCAAAGGCTTTGGTAAGAGCATATTACCTTGAAAATCATTCCTTACACCATAGCAGTAAAATAGTCATTATTATAGTCCGTGGGCTTAGTCAACCATGCAATGTCTCTGTGTATCTTAACTAAGATAATACATGGAGGTGAAATGAGGAAAACGTGAAGTAGCCTTGCCTGAAGGGAGCATATCTTCCTTAAATATATATATATATATATAAATATTACCCTGAATATCATGTATATCTCTATTATGTCTGTGTAAGAGCTAGAGGTTTCAGATTTGGTCTAGGCAATAAAGATAGCAATTTAATATCGACAGTAAATGACCAGTTTCCTTCCTGTAAGGGGTCTTTGCTCTCCTCAGCTCTAACACTTGCCAAGCTCACATTAATCATAACCGATTTCCTTCTGGGGAGTTGCTGAAACCTATTTCCTTTGACTAGAGACTTGAGTTCATAATTCACCTCTGTTACTGCTAGCCTTGAATTCACAACATACTTTTCCAGAACAGCTAATATCAATTGCTAGTTAGATCATTGGTCTCACTTAGCTTAAATAGATGTAAATTTTACTGGGGAAATAAATAAATAAATAAACAGGGGTTGAAAGAGGAGATCTCTTACACTGCAAATGATAAAATATTGCTAGTTGGGCAATAAATTGCTTTTTTATAGAGGGAAAATATCACTGCTGAGAAGACACAAATCCTTGAGAATTTGAGGGYCACTCCACTTCTCCTTCATGACTATTATGTGTCTGTGCCCCCTCGCCCCATTACTTAGA